TCACCCCTCAGTCTGATCCCACAGCCCCACAATCACCCCTCAGTCTGATCCCACAGCCCCACAATCACCCCTCAGTCTGATCCCACAACCCCACAATGCCCCCACAGTCCCAAGAGGGGAAGTTTATAATACTTCTAAAGCAGTCTGGTCTGACTTTCCGGAATGCTCTCTTGTTGCATCTACTGCCATCTACTGTTGCAAGGCGATATTGCATCTTGTCACAGTCTTGCCAGCTGGTCCTGAAATTGAACGTCAAATACCCATCTTATTAGAGTTATAATGGGCTTGTATGATGGTTTATGTTCTAAGGTGAAAGGTTTAATGTCTTTGCCATTTTTCCTTTTTATTTTTTAAGCATTTGTGTGCATTGCAGCTGAATGAATAGCTATTACTACCATATTTAATGTTTTACAGGGCGGTTGATTTTGATTGCTTGTACTGTTTTCAGTTATTTTTTGTCTTTTCTCAGGCAATGTACAGGACAGCGTACGAGCGGACTTTCAGTGGCCGAGGAGATCAAGGAGAGCCTGAGTTTGAATTGGTGTGCTGTTTTCCCTTTGGTGGAGTCTTGAAGAGTAGATAAATACAACACAAGAAAGGCTTTTTTAATTTTGTATTATCAGATACAGATTGTGTGACACTATTTAAAGATTAATTATTATTCTGTTTATGTAGTATTTTTTTTTAGTTTTTAGTTTGTCATTTGTTGTGCTCATCTTGAAAATCTAGATCCTTTGTTTTTAAGGGTGGAAATGAACCCCCCAGATAACATTTTAAACTGCGGTATGCCCTATTAAAACAGAATAATAAGGTATACATTGTAATTAAACAATACTTTTGTTTCTCAGAACTCAGGTATACATACGCATAGAAATTTAGCATGGAAAGTGGAAGAAAGTCCTTTTGTTTTACCAGCATTGAATTGGTCATCTCCATGCTTACTGTGATTTTAATTTCTTTTCTAACCTTTAGATTTTGGAAAAAGTCAATTATGCTATGTTGACAATTCCTCAGAAAAAAAAATTGCTGTTCATTGATTAAAACAAAGAAAGCTTCCCAGATAAGCCACAAACTTGTCTGCAGTATGTAACACCTGGTGTCTTGTGGAGCACCAGCTGACTTCATGAAGGTTTTTGAATTTGCTGGCTTAATATATTTTAGAGTTCACAATAGTGACTCAAAGGGTTCAGTTCAGGACAATTCCTTTGTATTTTTTTACAAAAAGTGGATTTTGAAGTTCCACAGTCTAATATTGTAGTGATTCAACTACACTAAAGCTTTCTTGAAAGGCTGTTACAGCCCAGTTAGGTATAAGACATTAGACGCTGCTTTTCTGGCTCCAGTTCGTTTGAGGAATGTAAGGAACATGAGGAATTGTAAAAAAAAATGAAGGAATTTGGTTGGTTGCCCTGTGCCTGCAAAAATCCACATTTTCAGCTGCACAAGCCATTTGTCTCTGCTGTGACGCAGAAATGTAAGTTGCCAGTTCGTGTGCGTCTCCTGCACACTTGCTTGTGACTTTCAAGCTGAAAGGTTGCTGAACATGTGCGCAGGCTCTCTGCACTCAGAGCTGCAAAGTCCGAACTCTGCGCCAGAGGAAAATGAAGGTGCCCGTGTCTGATGAGTTAGCCACTTGTAGTCTAGCACTCGGCGCGAAACAGGCTGACAGTTAACTTCAGTCGAGGCCTCCCTCCTCGGTCTTGAATATTGAACAATGGGGGTGTGTATCTCACCAGTCGTCCTCTGTTCCAGATGGGGCTCCCCCTTTGGGAGTGCTCACCGTGTGCTCAGCAGCATGCCGCCCCCAGGGGAGCTCAGCGTCCCAGCAGAGCCCCGGCTCACTGGAGTGGCCTCTTTGGAACTTGCTACAGCACCAGGCTAACGCCATCCCAAAAATCACTGCTTTCTAAAAAGTGTGATGACTATTTTTGACGTTAATTCCTCTAATATGTTCTTTGAGCCTGCTTAGCAGGGGGGATATTTAAAAACAAAAGGCCAGATCGATCATATCTCTCCTTGTTATGAACACCATAGCATTGTAGCATTTCAGTTGCTGTGCTGTTTTATGTGTCATCTACCTGGTGTGGAGTGTATGTGAGGTGTGCATAAGGAACATCTATGTTAGCACTCTTTGTTTTTACCCCACACCTTCAGACAGACATGCAGCAGCAGGGGTCTCTGTGGAAATAAGCTTGCATGCACTCTCTTTTACCTTGTAAATACCGTGGCTTTCCCTAAATCCCAAGGGAGAGAGTCCTTCTGAATAGGAGCATGATGACTGTGGAAGAGTCTCAGTTAGACTTATTCTCTATGCAGGCTAGCCTCCCCACCTCTCCAGCATGGCCTAGGAGCCCAATAGGAAATGGCCATGTGATGTCCTGACGGCCAGCCCACATGAACTGAGAGTTTCTGCTGCAATGGCTGTTAAAGAGACAATATCATTTGAACTAATGCATTAATTTTGACCTGGCCACTGTGGATTCAGTGGCTATAAACTCTTTCTTATAAAACATTTTCCTTGAATATTATTAACTGCACAAGTGGTCACAGCCACCAGAGTTTCAAAATGCCAGTTAGGATGGAGTAACCCTGTGTTGAATGTAGCTCAGTAGGGTTTTATTTTTGAATGCTGACGGCCTACATGAGATTTCTCGGACAAGTTGTCTGAAATGCATTGTTTTTGTTTTACCTCGCTCTAACACGAAATGTATAATAAGGCGTATTATGTTTATTTTCTGTTTTGTGTGCATCATATTAAGTGGCAGGCAAAGGGGATTATGCAGACAAGAGACAAGTACAAGCCAGAGGAAGAGGAATGAAAGCACACCCCACCCCCCCACAACCACAACCACCACGGTAGTGAGGGCAGGGGTTTAGGGGGTGGAGTTGAACACAAGCCAAACTGCCAAACTGTTCATTTTGGCCCTCTCACTCATTGGTCAGTGCCAGATGATGACCACTACTTCAGAACGGCCCCTGTGATCAGGCTCTCCAGAGGGCCTCTCGGGTTCTTGATCGACTCTTTCAAAAGACAAAAAAAAAACGGAATCCGTTTTTTTAATTGAGTTGTGACACAGATGTATATAGTACTTGAATTAAGTCTGTATCCACCCTGCACTCGTAGGTTACTTGATTTATCTAATGTGATACAGGGTGCAGTGGCTGGAGATGCGTTTTTAAAATGTCTGAAGCGAACCGTATTCAGATACCCTGTTTCTGAGTATTAGATCTTTGAACAGAGATGGTTCTCTCACTTCTTTGGAAAGTCTAAAACCTGTTTTAGTCGTACACACCCTCTGGCAGACCCAAGTACATTATACTCCTCAATAGCCAGACCGATCGAGCCCCGCCTATCGTCATTTTCACTTGGATCACACTTTATTAGGAAACGTGACTTTTTATTCCTTTAAGCTGACAAGAACTTCAGTTGATGCCCCATTGGGATTGAAGGATGGCAATTAAATGGGTAAAATGTCGCAAGCTGTGCACAAGTTTTTTTTTTAATTATAATTTTATTTTTTGAGTTTGATCTTAGTATTTGTGAAATAAGTTACCCTCTACTTAGCATGAACCTTTGAAAACCTTTAAAACAAAAAAAAAGAAAAAAAGAATTATGAAAAAATACCTATGTACTGGAAATATGGTAAAGACAAATATTGTATTCTGTTGTATTTTGACAGAATTATTTTTATTAAAATACACATCCATGTGCAAATTATCCGGTGTCCTGTTCTTTCTTGTTTTATCTCTTGGCTGCCTGCTACAGAGCTCTTCCACTGAGCCATCACTCCTGTGTAGTCTGTAAACTGTCAATGTCTGAGAAAGAACAGGGGTCCGACAGTGATGGCTTTGAAGATCTCAGGGTCAGGCCAGGAGCATATCTGTCTTCTGGACTACATTTTAGTCTAGCTGTTATTGAATAACTTGATTTCTACTCAAGACTTTGGTAGTGCCTGTTTTTGCTGTCGGCATACCATTTTTGGTCATTTGTATTTGGCATCTGTTATGAAACAGTAATACATGTGGAGCTCTAGATTAAAACATAGCAAAATTACACCATTTCATACCAAACACAAGTCAAGTCATTATTGCAATGTTCTTAGTGACACACAGTCAGTTGACCCTGGCTGAGAGGTAGCAAGAGTAGCTCTTTTTTCAGACCAAATGGTCTTGGTTCAGAACCCCTATAAAGAAAAAAAAATGATACGTGCTTTTGACGATCATTGTGACAATGCCATCAATTGATAGCATGATATATCACCTCAGTCTTGTCAACTGAAAATCATTCAGTTAAGTCATTACTGAAGCAACCTTGAGCTCTGCTGGAATGCAGACTGGTGCTGAAGTCCAGGGTGTAGGCCTCCAGGCTATGGAAGGATCTGCTGACTGGATCTTTGCTATTTTGGAGAGGAGGAGAGCAGTCCACATTCTGAAATCCAACTTAAGGTCACCATTAATCACACCTTTGTAAAAATCCAGACAAGTCCTAGCCTAGAGCCTCCCCTTGTTTCTGCAGGATTTAAGGGACAGAAAATCACAGCTTCCCCTGCAAGGGATGCTGGGCAATAGCTATTATTAACAGTGATGGGAATAACAATTCCTTACACTAATTTAGCACTCTTTAAATCCTGAAGGAACCCCAAAGATCTTTGCAAACAAGTGGGGACCTACTACATCCACCACTGAAGGAGAGACCCCACCTGGGAGACAAAGGAGCCATTCATCACCAGCAGCCCCATCTGGGAGACGCACAGAGATCATTCCGAACAAGCACCCCACCTGGGAGACACACAGAGATCATTCCGAACAAGCACCCCACCTGGGAGACGCACAG